CTAGAGATAACACCAGTGCCGCAGGCATTGTCAAGGACCACTAGAGGCTGATCAGGGTTGGCCTTGGACTCGGCGAGCACCTTGCTCTGGTCAACCAGGATTTCAGCAAATGGGCGGGTGACCATCTCCCCGCGCTTGAATGAGCTAGCATAGTCTTTACTCTTGAAGAACGCCTGGAACGTGGGGTTTTCAGCCATGGTTGGGCGAAGCTGTCAGGTGGTTGGGTATCGTGGTGATTGAAGTTGATAGATGAGTATGTCTGTTTGTAAGAGAACTTCGAGTGATGTTACGAAAATTCAGGTTCATGGAAAGATAGATGTTCTTCCGAGGTTTAAACGGCCTTTTAAATATCTGAAGTTGCTCTAGACTTCCCATGGCCACATAGAAAGTGTCCGCGAAAGTGTCCGAGAATGTCTCCGCGATTGGAATTCAGTCGAGTCATTTCTAAAAATGCACATTGAAGGCGTGGATAGTAGCTCAAATCCACTCGTTAACCGTAGGCCGACAATGATTGGTCGGGTGCGAAACTTGTGCAATAGGCAGCCTCCAAGGTTCCCTCTTAGTATATCATGATCATACTTCAATATCACGTGAGAAAAGCCCCCGCGCTGACATCAGCAAAACCACGCCAGACCCAAATGGGCAAACCATCAACAGCGGATGCAGCAAAACAATCAATCCCCTCCACTTCCCACCTGGCCGACCTATGCACTCTGCTAGCGAGCAGAACGCCGTTTCGGAGTCGCAATCATGAGGATTACTGAAATTGTCATAGATGTGAGGCTCAACATTACCCCATTGTTATTCATTGCGCTAACCAGGTCGTCAGGGCTTCAAATCGTACGCTGTGCGTACGGTGATCTCGGGATGGTATGCAATCCTCCGCATCTAAGGATGAATTAAATCATGGCTTTGGGCCAGTTTGGGAGTGATGGGATTTACTAATCGCGCAATGTAGGGACGAAGCCTTCAACTCGATCACCGGCCTGAACGGTAGTGGTAAATCCAACATCCTCGATGCCATTTGCTTCGTGCTCGGTATCACCAACATGACTACGGTCCGCGCACAAAACCTCCAGGATCTTATCTACAAGCGCGGCCAAGCGGGTGTTACAAAAGCCAGCGTTACAATCGTTTTCGACAACCGGGATACCGCGAAATCGCCGATCGGATTCGAGGAGTATGCGAATATCTCCGTCACTCGACAGATTGTGCTAGGCGGCACAAGCAAATACTTGATCAACGGCCACCGCGCGCAACAGCAGACCGTTCAGAACCTGTTCCAGAGTGTCCAACTGAATATCAACAACCCCAACTTCCTCATTATGCAAGGTCGCATTACCAAAGTCCTGAACATGAAATCGGTCGAAATCCTGTCGATGATCGAGGAGGCAGCTGGTACGCGAATGTTTGAGGATCGAAGAGAAAAGGCGAACAGGACAATGGGAAAGAAAGAGTTAAAGCTGCGCGAGATCGAAGAGCTGCTGAAGGAAGAGATTGAACCTAAGCTCGAGAAGCTCCGGTCGGAGAAGCGAGCCTTCCTCGACTTCCAACAGACGCAGAACGATCTCGAGCGCCTGACCCGACTTGTTGTTGCCCATGACTATGTTCGTGGCGGTGAGCGGTTGAGAGTTGCAGGCGAAGAGTGCGAAAATAAACGTAACAAAGCGCAGGCACTCGAAGATAATGCGCACAAACTCAAAAGTGAAATTTCTCATTTAGAAGAGGACGTGAAACGGGTGCGCGCAGCTCGCGATAAGGAACTCCGAAAAGGCGGCAAATTCCAGGGGCTTGAAGACGAGGTCAAGAACTACTCGCACGAGTTGGTCCGATTGACCACGATCTTTGACCTGAAGAATGCAAGCATGGCCGAAGAGAAAGAGAAACGGCAGACTATTCAAAATACTGTCACTGAACTTGAGAGAGTCTTGAAGGAGAAGCGCAAGATCTACGAGAAGCTACAGGCCCAGTACGATACCGCCAAGGCGGAGTTGGACGCACAAAATGTGGAAGTGGAGCAAAAGGAGGAACTGCTTCAGACATTGCAGACTGGTGTCGCCTCGAAGGAGGGCCAAGAGAGTGGTTACCAGGGTCAACTGCAAGACGCCCGTAATCGCGCAAGCAATGCCGCCACAGAACAGGAGCAAGCAAAGCTCAAGATCAATCACCTTGAGCAGCGGATCAAAGAAGAGGAGCCTCGTGCAAAGAAGGCAAAGGAACAAAACTTGGGGCTTTTGCGTGATCTCGAAGGGTTGAAGTCGCAAGCCAACAAGTTGGAGTCTGAGCTGACTCGGCTTGGGTTTGAGCCTGGGAAGGAGGAGCATATATACCAGGAGCAGACCGAGCTCCAACGGGATATTCGCGACCTCCGCCAGCGAGCTGATGAGCTCAAGCGGCAGGCAGCGAACATCGATTTCAACTACGCAGACCCTCATCCCAATTTTGACCGGTCCAAGGTTAAGGGTTTGGTTGCTCAACTTTTCACACTCAATAAGGACCAGGTTGCGGCTGCGACTGCTCTGGAGATCTGCGCCGGTGGTCGTCTTTACAATGTGGTCGTGGACAGCGCAGAGACCGGCACCCAGCTGCTTCAGAAAGGCAAGCTGCGCAAGCGAGTGACTATCATTCCCCTTAATAAGATTTCTGCCTTCAAGGCCTCCGCGGAAAAGATCGGTGCTGCACAGGACCTTGCCCCTGGCAAGGTTGACCTCGCCCTATCCTTGGTTGGATACGACGAGGAAGTCCTAGCGGCGATGAACTATGTATTCGGCAACACCCTCATCTGCGATGATGCCGACACAGCTAAGAAAGTAACATTCAATCCGTCAGTTCGGATGAAGAGTGTCACGCTGGAGGGCGATGTGTATGATCCCTCCGGAACACTTTCCGGTGGAAGCTTCCCCAACTCCAGCGGTGTTCTTGTTACCTTACAAAAGCTCAATGATATCACCAAGGAGCTGCGGAGCAAGGAACGACAGCTCGCGACTTTGGAGGACCACATGAAGAGGGAAAAGAAGAAGCTCGATTCCGTTCGCTCTATCAAGCAACATCTGGACCTCAAGAACCACGAGATTAAGCTTACCGAGGAGCAAATTAACAGCAATTCTTCCTCTTCGGTATGTCTTTCTTCTAATCCGTTCCCCGCAATTTGCAACTAACCCGAAGTAGATCATTCAAGCCGTTGAGGAGATGAGAGCAAGCATTGAACAACTCAAGAAAGACATCGCCGACGCTAAGTCTCGCCAGGCTGACACATCCAAGGATATCAAGCGAATTGAGAAAGACATGAGTGAATTCAGCGACAACAAAGATAGTAAGTTAGAGGAACTGCAGACAACGCTCGATAAGCTGAAGAAGAGCTTCACCAAAAATTCTACCTCGGTCAAAGAGCTGCAGAAGGAATTGCAGTCTTCCAGACTAGACTCTGAACAAGTGGGAAGCGACTTGTCCGCGGCTGAGGAGCAATTGGTTGAGTCAGACAACACCCTCAGTGCCCAAGTACAAGAGATTGAATCGCAAAAACGGGAGCAAGCACGGCTGAAGGTTTGAAATGTCCTTGCAATATAGATAACCATATGACTGACAATTCTAGGATGCCCATGACATCGCGCAGGCTCAGCTTGATGACGAGAGGGCCAAGCTGACCGGCTTTGACGAGGAGTTGCGAGAATTAGAAGAAGCCATGAAGAGCAAATCTTCTCAAATCACCGAGGATGGACTAGAGGCGCAGAAGCTCGGCCATCAGCTCGAAAAGCTTGAAAAGGATCAGTACACTGCTAGTCAGGCTGTGGCTCACATGGAACAAGAACATGAGTGGATTGCGGATGAGAAAGAAAACTTCGGACGCGCCAACACTCCCTACGATTTCCATAACCAGAATATTGCCGAATGCAAGTCCACCCTACGCAGCTTGACAGAACGATCTCAAGGCATGAAAAAGAAAATCAACCCGAAGGTCATGAACATGATTGACAGCGTCGAGAAGAAGGAGGCTGCTCTCAAGAACATGATGAAGACAGTCATTCGTGACAAGCGAAAGATCGAGGAGACCATCATGAACCTGAATGAATACAAAAAGGAAGCTCTCCATAAGACGTGGGTCAAGGTGAATGGCGACTTTGGACAGATCTTCAACGAGCTCCTACCGGGTAGTTTTGCAAAACTCGACCCTCCCGAGGGCAAAGACATCACAGATGGTCTCGAAGTGAAGGTATCCCTGGGCAAAGTCTGGAAACAGAGTCTGACAGAACTGAGTGGTGGCCAACGTTCGCTCATTGCTCTCTCATTGATCATGGCGCTCTTGCAATTCAAGCCCGCGCCAATGTACATTCTGGACGAGGTCGACGCCGCTCTCGATCTGTCACACACGCAAAACATTGGTCGACTGATCAAGACCCGTTTCAAGGGATCTCAGTTCATCGTCGTCTCGTTGAAGGACGGCATGTTCCAGAACGCCAACCGCATTTTCCGCACGCGGTTCAGCGAAGGCACCAGTATTGTCCAGGCGTTGACTCCAGCGGATCTAAAATGAGCATGCACATGAGCTTGATTGTCTATAGTTTCTTTCTTGGTGTGTTCCGGTGGAGTACGAGCTTATTGTGTCTGGCCTTTGGTGTTTGGTTGTTTTTGGATGGGAATGGACCTCTTTTTTTATGAATCATGCATGGTAAAGATTACTTCAATATCTTCTTGGGTATATAATATAAGTGTACAACACAAGTGCACAATATAAGTATCGCTCAAGACAAACTTCCAAACTTGGAAACTCCGGAACCCGGCACGTGCCCGATCCTCGACCTGATCTGTGCCACCTTCCAACGCCGCATTGCGATCCCATTGAAATTACCCCCAATTGCGCCGTTACCTAAAGTACCTCACCTAGGCATCACTTATATTATCATATTGAACTCGACGTCTTGCCTTTCTCAGAACCGTTACAGCCAGATACCGACGCCGGGGACCCTGAGCACCTGCCTCTACTTGCGCTCTGCCAACACAAGATGTCAGACGAGGAACCTTCGCTGAACATACCGTCGCTTCTCACCTTAGCGGTTGTATCATACTTTGTTATCCGGTGGTTCTTTAATCGCGATGAAAGCGCCGCGGGAGGAGGCCGAGGTCGGGGGCGTGGCAATGCTGTTGATCCGGCGCAGGTGGAACAAATCGCGCAGATGTTTCCTCAACTAAGCACTCGAGACATAATGTGGGATCTGCAGCGTAATGGGGGCAGTGTCGCCGCAACGACAGAGAGGATTCTGACTGGACGGGGGTTGGAAACGGTACGTGTTGCGTTGATGCTGTTATTAATTTGCCCGCCTTATTTTTATCTAAGACAACTTGACTTGGTTGCGGGCTGCAATTATCAACTTCAAATTTATATAGAATATTGACTAATCCATTCTTTTAGCCTCCTCCCTCGTTCCAACCTCAGGTCGCAATCCCCCCCACCAACATCCCGCCGACGCAAACCGCGGATAGGGCGCCCAAAGCGGACGCACAGGACTTGATATCTCGGTATAATCTGAGTGCAAAGGCCGAGAGCCCTTCTGCAGAGCCACAATCCGAGACACCTTCCAAGTCCACCTGGTCCCAGAATAAGGAAGAGCGCCAACGGATACTGCAGAAGCGTCGGGATGATATGATCTTAGCGGCGCGGAGGAAGATGATGCAAAAGAACCAGGGCGATGTCCAATGATATGAGAATTTGCACGCTCGCCTGTCGACATTGTGACTTTCTGTACACTGCTTTTGGCGTCGATAAGCCTGGCCGAACCCGGCACCAGTGTTTCCCGGAGGCCGATATACCCTCTCCGCTCTTTCGGTTTTGTTTCGCAACATCGTTCCTCTTCGTTTGTATTAAAGCGCTCGCATGCTGTATGGTGTTAGTTAAATTGGAACAGTTTCGATTATAACCGTTGGTCGTTGGATTGCGGAGGGTATATTGGATTATATACATGAAAGTCGTTTTGGGCATTGGTCTGCGTCACATATGCACCGAATAACTCCGAATGAAAGATACCCCCAAAACAGGAAAAGAAATGTCTCAAATGCTTAGAACTCCATGTAATCTTCTTCTTCGTCATCATCCTGGGTGCCATCGTAGCCACCACTTGCTCTCTGCTCGGCCATCTGTTCGCGCCGGGCCTGTTCCTTAGAGGTCCCAATTCTCCTATGAACCGGTTAGCAATGAAGTCTCCAATATACTCGGATATGCAAGTGGTCGAGAATGGGGTCAGACATACCGAAGACCATCCACCACGCCAGCAACAAACCCTCGCTCTTCTCCCAGCTCCATAGAACCGACACCCGTCAAAGCGACACCACCACCACCGGTCGCCGCAGCATCCAGCACATCAACTCCAGACCTCATTTTCGCCATGCGCACCTCACGCAGGTCTTTCAGCAGTCTCCGTATCTGATCCGGGTCCACGAGATCATCGCTCGCGGCGTCAAGCAGCAGATTCCCGACCTCAACCCAGTGAAACGGTAGTGAAGGGGGATCCCGCGAAGACGTCACGGTCTGGGCTGTGTTTTGAGGTAAGAAAGGTGGCGCGGCGTAATACCGATTCCCATCTGGAGTATACTGTGGCCGAGCAGATGGCAGGACATCGCGGTCCAGAATGCTAGGTTGACCGGGCAGGGGAGGAGGTGGGGAGAAAGCGCTTTTGTAGTCTTGGTGCTGGGACTCGACTTCGAGGATGAGAGCTAATGGCTCTGGGTGTAACCACGTTGGTGGGATGATGTTTGCACGGCGTTGGCGTTTAAGGAGGAGCGCGAGCCAGAGGGGGAGGGAGGCACGTCGGGGCGGTATCAGAGGCTCAATGGGGCCCTGGGGATAGTTAGCTTTGGGGGGGTTCAGATGAAGCAGTTCGGAGGCGCATTCACTCCTAGTAGTTCGAGGCCTTCTAGACGCTGGCGGGGCACAATTGTCACTGTTTCCATCTCCGCAAGGAAGGCGATTTCGGACGCCGTGACGCCCCGAGGAAGAGGGAAAGCCATGAGGGTGTGGATAGGAGGTAAAGGCGGTTTCAATTAATCACGAGAGTCGCGAGCTCATCGTTTTTCTGAGGATAATATAGGTCGTCTTGACCGTGACCTTGACCGTTTGCTTTGCGTTCCTTTCTTTCCCTGTCTTTTCTTCTTATTTGATAACCGAGTATTTGCTCTTCAAATGCCCCATTGACTATTATTAAATGTCTTCTTTCATGTCGCGTCGAGATGGCGACCTCGAAACGTTCCAAATGTTCCAAACGTTTGAAACGTTTGCATCGGTTTGAGCTCCGCAACCGATGACTGGGACCCGGTGGCCGATGAATTGAAGCTCACCTGGCAACTTTACCTGCTTGCTGCGAATGATTATTTGCGTAGCATGGTCAATCCTCCAGAATCAGATCTCAGCCGGAGTGCTCGATGGTTGGTTCCGTTTTGCTTGGTCTTGATTCCTCTCTGGGTGAGTCTTGTGAACAAGGCTGTCCCCGAACCCTACCTCGACGAAGTCTTCCATGTCCCGCAAGCACAAGCATACTGGTCGCATAAGTGGACACAATGGGATCCGAAGCTTACGACACCACCGGGTCTGTATTTGTGCTCATACATCATCTTCGCTATTGTGTTGCTGCTACGCGGGTCCCCGACAAAGCTCACTCCGGATGTCCTGCGCATGACGAACGTTGGTGCGACGACTGTTATTTTCCCCTGGAGACTGCAAAAGCTACTTGATACACTACAGAGAACGACAAATACTCGACCGCTGGGAGCGAACGTGTCTCATACCGTGCTGAACATCTGCTTGTTTCCCCCGCTGTTCTTCTTCTCTGGTCTGTACTATACAGATGTTCTTGCTTTGCTGGTTGTTATGGAGGCGTACAATTGGGACCTGAAGAGAGAAACAGAGAGAGACCAGCAAATTGACCCCAGAAAAGACACGAAACAAGCGTCTAGAAATTGTGTTCTGGAGACATTGGGATTTTTGGCTTTCGCGCTGGCTGCACTGGTGTGCCGACAGACCAATATCTTCTGGGTCTCCGTTTTCCTAGGTGGACTTCAGGTGGTCCGCATGATTCGGAAGTCTGCCGCGCCCTGCATGTCGTCCAAATTTTCAACTATCGTGAAGCAGGGCCTGCAGAATGAGGTGTATGATCCCCTCGTTTCGGAGGCTTCCTTGGAAGGTAAATTGGTCTCTTCGACATACAATATGAAGCGACAATGGGGACCATTCTAACCCAACATATAGATTACCTGAAGACCACCATTTCGCTTGCAACTGTCGGCCTGAAGCGGCCTTGTTCTCTCCTCGTTTCTCTCATTCCCCACATCATCGTCCTTGCGGCCTTTGGTGCATTTGTAATTTGGAACAACGGAGTCGTCCTAGGTAAGAGTGGCTTGTTTTATTACATTAAATGTGATCTTTGACTGACACCTGCCATTCAATAGGCCACAAGGAGTTCCATGCCGCGGGTATCCATCTGGCTCAGATGCTCTACATCTGGCCGTATTTCACCTTCTTCTCATGGCCTCTCTTCGTCCTTCCTTTGATCAACATTCTCGCCATCAAGCCACTCCCTAAATGTTTGGATCTCGGCTTCCCGCCGAAACAGAGGAAGTATCCCAAGCTCAAAGCAGCCCTGATTGTGATCCCGCTTATGCTTGCCGTGGTCCACTTCAACACCATTGTGCACCCCTTCACCCTTGCTGATAACCGACACTATGTGTTCTACGTGTTCCGCATTCTTCTACTTCACCCGGCAGTCAAGTACGCTGCAGTGCCAGTCTATTTCCTCTGTGGATGGGTCGTGATCTCCGCCTTTGGATTTACCACCATTCAACGTCCGCCCAAAGCCTTGCGAGTTCAGAACTCTCTCCCAGCTGTGCCCCCAACTCCGGCTCCGGCTCCAGCTCCAGCTCCCGCTCCTGCTCCGGCAGCCCAAGAGCCCAAATCCACTTCGTCTTCTGTGCGCAAGCCTTTACAAGCGCACCAACAGCCGCCAAAGGGAACGAAGAAGCCCAACCGGCCCAATAACAAGAAGACCAAGAAGGCCGATCTACCAGCAGAGACCAAGAACACCGACCCAACTAAGCTACCAGCAGAGATTACGGATCCAAATGCTCCCGCGGTCCTAGCTAGGGTCCAGCAACACATATTCACGCGGCAGAGAGAGTTGCTAGAGGCGCCGCACGTTAGCTTCGTCCTTGTTTGGCTAGCCGCTACTTCCCTGTCTCTCATCACAGCACCCCTTGTCGAACCCCGCTACTTCATCATCCCCTGGGTCATGTGGCGTGTGCATCTTCCTCCTCTGCCATGTCTGTTCAGGGACCGAGAAACTCGGCCCCGCACAGAGGAAGCAAAGCGCCGCTATGACCTCATCGTCAACTCACCAAAGTTCGTGGAGACGGTCTGGTTCTTGATCATTAATTTGATCACTGGGTATGTCTTCCTGCACAAGGGCTTTGAGTGGCCGCAGGAGCCTGGCAAGACTCAGCGCTTCATGTGGTAATCTTTCAGCTCTTTTTCTTTTAATATTCCTTTTGACCTGCCTTGGTTTGGTCGCTTGTACAATAGAATTTAAACTTGCTTGATTACTCTTCTAAAAGCATTGAGTTTTGTTATGATCTGTTATCAAACCCACCTCGGTACAGCATGTATTTAAGGCGACCTTCATCATTATTCGAGATGAATATATATTGTAGATCCTAGCTTTGATGAACGAAGAGTGTATCTACATGTTCCCATTCCAATAGAATATACACCAAACTTATGCGGCCGTAGTCTTCTTAGTAGGCTTCTTAGGTATTCTTCTCTGATAGTCTCTTTATATGTCTTTCTACTGGTCTTTTTTGGTAGCTTCCGCAGGTAGTCTTTTTAGGGGTTTGGTCATATAGATATTTCCCCCCCCCCCCTTCTCAGTTTGTTAGGGAGACAACAGAAAAGGACCAAAAAAGGCTTAATTTGTGAAATGGACTTTTCTATGTATAACCTTTGACACCAAACGAGAAAAGTGATATTCTTCCCTCTCTGTCGTCAATTATGGCTACTGCTGGCCCTTCCACGCGGTATATTTGCGGTAAATATCATGGCGGAAGGTTTGCTTTAGATCGGCCATCAAGTCTCCATCGACCGGAAGCGCAGCCTGGATAGCACCGACGCCACAGAGGTTGTTCTTTCGATCAATGAACCAAGTGAGCGTCAAGCCACCACCCCAAGTCAGCGTCCGCTCGCCATACCAGCCATCAACATCCTCAAGCGTCAGCAACCCGCCCAAACCATAGCCAACCTTCGTTTCCAGATCTGTTCCAACGCGGAAGAAGGGCCCGAGAGGACTAGCAAGCGCAGCTTTATGGCTTGCCGCCGCTTCGGGGCCAAGGTGTTGCTGGAACATATTGTCGACAGCAGCGGGCTTAAGCAAGACGCCATCATTAGCCAGCAGCGAGCGCAGAACCTTAACAAAATCCAAACCGGGCAAGAACAGCCCATGACCACCAAAGGCACCACGGCCCCGCAAATTCATCTCGCCGCCGCCGCCGAGCACGGCACTACCAAGAGCACCGGGGTCATTGGGGTTAAGGTCGACGAGGCGGGCTCGCAGATCCTCACGGGTGACAGGATAGAACTGAGCATCTGCAATACTGAGCGGGTCGAAGATACGCTTCTGCATGAACTCTATCAACGTGCCGCCGGTGACGCGCTCCACCACGCGGCCAGCCCAGTCAAGGCCGGGCCCGTACATCCAGCCGGCACCGGGCTGGAAGCTGAGCGGGTAGGAGAACATCTCCTCGACGAGACGAGGTTCTTCGTTCTCAGGATTGGCATACTGCGCACGCCACTTGGCAATGGGCGGGTTCAGGAAGTGGTAGGAGGTGCCAGAGCTGTGTGTAAGCAGCATCTTGAGGGTAATGGGGCGGGCTGGTGGATCGAGCTGAGGGCTTTCATCGTCGGTAAAGCCAGTGAGGACATGCTTTGCAGCGAGCTCTGGGGCGATGGACGACAAGTCGCCATCCAAACTTAGTAGGCCGTCTTCGACGCACTGTAAGGCGGCGATAGTTGTGATCAATTTGGTGGCTGAGGCTAGGTACAGCACATCGTCGAGCTGCTGTGGCTGCTTCTCGCCTGAGAGTAGAGTCCGCTCTCCGATTGCCTTGTTGTAGACAAAGTGGCCTTCGGCATTAGTGGCACAGATTACAGCGCCGTTGATCTTGCCGGTGTCGATGGCGGATTGGAGACTAGCGTCCATATTTTCTTTGAGAGAATGACGCTCCTGCAGAGGGCCTACTTAGCAGGAAGGTTTAAATAATAATTAGCTATGTACAATACGTAGAGAGTATCAGTTCGGCGTCTCTTTTCGGACGCTCGGGCTCTCTTTTTGGCCAAGTATCCATAGATGGTTGCCTTGTTAGACAAGTGGACCAACCATGTTATCTGACCCAAAGGCGGTCTAATTCTGCCAAAAGTTGGGCTATATTGAACTTTTAAGGGATGCATACATCTTTCGCCCTTCGGGGCATATGGTCAATTGAAAATATACAGGGAAGATTAGCGTGTCCCTGAACTAAGGATGACACGCATAATCAACGAGAAGCTACCTATTTTTTCCCTCTTCACGCAAGCTCAATTAAGGTGTTAGAGTACGGGGCTTTTTGTGCATATTATTGTACTGTTTACACGTACATATGTATGGTGCCATCATTGTTCGACTCTCCGCGTTATCAGTGTTACTAAGCTGTCGCGCTCTAACTATCTCTAGAATCCTGTGAACTCCATGGAACTTATAGTGGAGAGAACATTGCTGCTGCTATCCACAAAACCCTTGTGGAATTGAACCTGGAGTCAAAGTTGATAACAATCACTGGTGACAATGCTAGCAACGATGAGGTTATAGTTTTAGAGTTATTTCATGCTCTGATAAAGGAATCTTCGCAAAATATTCGTGCTTTAGGTCAGCCGTAAGTACCGCGGCCATCCCTAAACGATGGGCAGGTAGGACTGCTCCACGCAGCTCCGACTCGAGGGAGGCCCGCGGCGGTTGACAATGAGGTCGACCATGAATTCCCCAATGAAGTCTCAACGGGTTGATCATCCATTCCCAATGCATTACGAAGCTGTATAGACGCCATGGGTCAAACCCCCATTTCCGTAAAAATTGATGCCTGAATGCCTGATTTTGGCATGGTTCTTGACCGGCTTTTACACCGCTCCATACCTGGTAGTTATCATGTAATGGAAATTATTCACCCTAATATGTATGAAGCTTTTGTACACCTCACAAATCTAAGCATCTCCAATGTCCAAGATGATTTAGTAGCTCTCTTGGGCCTATATATGAAAATGAAATTTTTGATCTCATACAAAATGCATGCATTTCAATTTTTCAAGGCGCTTTACAAGCTCCCATATATAAAAATGAACTTATTTCTCCTATAAATCTCTGCATCTCCAATTTTCAAGGTGGTTTAGTAGCTCTCTCTGGCCATGTATGAAAATGAGGCTTTTGATCTCGTACAAATGCATGTATTTCATATATAACGAGAGATCTACTAAACCACCTTGAAAGTTGGAGATAGTTACAGTTCTATTTGCTTCCGGAACACCCTAAACGGCCAATCAAGCGAAAAGAATCCCCAGCCGCAATATTCCAATCCGAGACATATAAACAAAGAACCTTCCAAAGAGATCTCTTTATTAAGGTTCGATATACGGAGTACCTGCGGCTGCGTCGCGCGCGTGGGTCGCACCTACCCCGACGGCCCGTCATGCACTCTGGAGTATACAAACATTGAATTTATTGTTCTGGTGACGAACAATTCCATTTTGTTATTTTATTTATTTTCTTATTTTAGAAATATTATAGAAAAATAAAACCCAAGTACTTAATCTTTTATTCTTTCCTTCTGCACTAATCCCATCTAACGTGAAATGCAATGGCTCATGCAATGGCTCACAAAACAGGTCTACGGGGAGCCCTCTCCAAACTACGCAAGACGCAGCAACCTGCCAAATCTACACGTGAGCCAGAGATTCCCCTTATCCAGGACAAAGTCTATCCTCGTTCCAAGCGTCCTGTCTCAAAGGATTCCCCCATTTATTCTGAATTGATGTTCCCACCCACTCCCCTCCCAATCGTCCCCATGGCGTCCGATTCCAATCTTGATCCTCTAGTCATGGCTTCTACTATTTCCCAGGCCCGCCTGAATGCTCTGCAATCAGGAGAGGACTTGGACTTGTTTTTCCAACGGGGTAAGGACTGTATTGATGCTTATGCCCAGGCCACCAAGGCCATGATGGAAGATGCTTCTGCCCGCGTCAAAGATGGAGAGGATCCTCCATTTGACGAGATCGAACAGATGAAGGAACGCTTCTTTAAATACTGCCAGTCAATCGTGGAGGAAGCATTGTCCCTGGTCTCACGAGCTCGAGCCGCCAATCACCCCCGGCAGATCGAAGTTTCCAGCAGCTCGACCATGCCTTCGCTGGTCTCCTCAACTTCAACCATGACTGGATCTGAGCCAAAAACGCCCTTGGAATTTGGCTCACTTGCTGACAGATCAGGATTCTCTGAGGCATTGGTAAGTGACTTGGCTCCATGCATTGATCCCACTTTGGAGAGAGTTGACATTGATCCTAACTTGTGACAGCTCGCGTCTAGCGGCCAGCACCGCCTTCGTCTCTACAATGTGAGCAGTAGCGACTGGGTCATGGTCCCATCGATGCCCTCTCCCACCTCTCCAACCAAGGTTGTGGCCCCCGACGACATGGATCCTGTTGAGGAATCGATTCATCTCGGTGTCATCGTGCGCATCTTCGGCAAGTTGTACACAATGTCGAAGATGATGGAGACAATTCTCTTGTATTACGGCGCTGAGGTATTCCTTGAGCCTACAACTTCACTCTTGCCCCATACTTCTATCTCTTGCTTCTTGGAAATATAACTGCTAACGCCGACTTTCTACTCTTAGCCCGACAACTCTGAGACTAGTCTGCCATACTGGATCAAACGCAGCGAGCAAAACGTGCGCACTCAAAAGATGGCTGTACTGATTGACACTGTCGAACACCTGTATTACGCCCTCTACGCCCGCATTACCATTGAGCTGGCCAGCATTGAGCTCTGCGGTTCCTTCCGAATCGACACTCGTGTATTGCGAATCGAGCTTCCGCTCCGTATGCCAGAAGCTGATCATCTCTACCGCATCGTTCTGGCATTCAAGGAAGTGCTGGACTCTCCGGAGATCTGCGCAATCCTTCGGAAAGAAGTCATCGCCTACTTCCAGCAAGGATATATCAACCAGGTTACAAAAGAGAAAAGCCAGGACGAGTTCCCCCACTTTGACCCACTCGGATATCGCCCGTTTGCGATGAGAACCGTCTCTTACCGACGCGGATCCTACTGTGAGAAATGGAGACAACTCATTCCATTCTTCAACTCCATCCCAGCGGAGACCATGGTAACCCTGTCGGAGAAATATCTCCTGATGACTCCAGTGGCTATGCCGCCTGACGACATTCCAATCGAGAAGCTCCCATGGATCCGCCCAGAGGATGTGGGAATGAAGGTCTGGGACACAAATGCTGTGAATGATAACCGCTTGTCTGAGTTCGCCAAAAGGAATGGTACAAGCATCGGAGAAGAGCGCAAGAAGGAGTTAATCCCTGACCTTTACTACCAGGTCAGGCAACGAAAGTGCATTTGCGACTCTATCTGCGCATGTTCCTGGGAGTGTACCTACGAGGTGGAGCGCGCCTGCCCTTGTGCGGAACGACATCTACGCATCATGGTGACCAAGCGTCGACTCGCATACAGACGGAAGAATGGACCTACTTTCGCCGCTACTGCTTCTACCACTGCTCGCATGTTCTTCGATGGTCTAACTGAGCTCAGCCGTGATGTCAAGGATGCTGATATCGCCAATGAATTGGAGAATGCTTTTGAATTGTTCTCTCTGTTAATCTCCGCCGAACGCGATATGACTCCCAAGGGAGACTCCCAGACAAGTTTCTAAGAGCAGTCTCTCACTCCAGCCACGACTTACGATTAATATTACGACTACAACTACGATTTACGATTCACGATTCGAAATTTCCAGTTCAGTTCATGGACCACAACCATAACCCATCGGAGTTTCACGAGAAGCATCCAAAATGAATTCAATCTGCAAAAAGCCAGAAACGAAAAACAATCGGAAAAAGCCGCTCAAAAATCACAATAAGTGTGACAACCGAAGGAGGAAAAGTTAGTCGATCCCACCGGGAATCTGTCCGATGAAGAGAAACCATCGAAGGGAAGTAATGGGAGGAAACCAAAGGGTGATCAACATCATTTGACAGATATCGAAAACTGATCATGAGCCATGTCATTTATTTGATGAAGCCACTAGGAGAGGTCTACATATCCTGTCTGGAAATGAATTAATTCAGCCCAAGCTGCTACCTAATGTTTCGTACAGACTCGCCTATCCCATACACGACGATGCGACCTCAGCAACAACAGCAGAGTATGCGGCTGCATCTTCAGGAACCCATCATAAGTGATACAATTTTGGATCACCCGGCTTCGTGAGACACCCTACCTTGGTAACAATACCTCCGCACGCCTCGTATCTAAACTGCACAGCATTGACAACATTGAAGGAAATCATCTTCCGCGGTATCTCGGGGCATTTTGAAGTATTCCCAACTCTAGTCCGGCGATTGGTGCCAGACAGGATAGTATGGTCTTCACGCTAATCTTCAACGACAGTGGACATATTCAGATGCTACTCTTTGGAACCCTCGCTAAATGTGCTGTTTGTAGTCCATTTTGAAGGCATTTTGCATCTCTTCGCTGACTTGGCCGATAGCTGTAAGGTTTCTGGAGCATATGTGTAAACAGAGCGAAAATCAAGAATTGTAATTTAGGGAAGAATATGATCTTCAGGGACATACCTGTAGATGAGTTCTGAGAGGTGATCATTTGACAGGGATATACATATGTAGATAGGTAAATGTACCTAGGTAGCCCTAAGAGTCCCGGGCTTTTATATTATCGACTGCTCTTTTAGAAAAAGAATAGGTTGATTCTGGACAAATATCATACAAATCTAACAAATCTAACAACATTAAGGAAATCTATAGGAAAAGAACGATAAATATCAGGAAGAGATTTTGACGATTTTCATATTCTCAGAGATACTCCGTAGTGTAAGGTACAGTCGGCGGTGCAGACCAGTGATATCTTCACACTCCCGGCCCTCACCGGTGAGTCGCACTTTTCTTTTCTTTTGTGCCCTCAAGCCCCTCTGAGTCAACACTTGTTTTCTGTCTTATTGTATTCTGTCTCTTCATTTTTCACCTTTCATGCCTTAATGCCCCAGAACCCCTTCGCCGAGCCCATCTTGGTGCACAGAGAGCCAAGTTAGGGATGGTGACCAAGGCAGCGGCTGCGTCACACTCATTATCATCATCATGGACGTCCATTAGCAAGTGGATCGCGAACATAAGCATAAATCAAGCCCCGATCCAGAGTGCCTGCCTCCGACAACCGGGCACAGCACGGCCATACCACGCGGCAGTGTGGCCCTCCTACGGCATCACCACTCCGGTTCCCCACCAGCCATTCGTTCCCCCCAAATCGCCCTTTCGATTCGAGACTGGCTACGCTCTATGTGCCAAACGACCCTCACGACCTTTCCCTCCACCTTTCCTTTCCCCACCCTCGTCATCCTTCTCCGATCCGTTGACGACACACGGACTAAGCCAGGATAAGAGATTATCCGTCAAGGGCGAGCTAGTCCGTGGCCTGAACAACGGAGATGATGCCATCCTCGTCGCGGAGAACTTCATAGGCGTCGACGATGGCGTAGGCGCCTGGGCTACGAAACCTCGTGGTCATGCTGCGTGAGTGGTCTCGATCTCAATTTATATCCTATGTTACCATCGCTGACTTTTTCATTCCCCGATACAGACTCTGGTCTAGACTCCTATTACACTTCTGGGCCCTCGAGGTCGAAAAGAATGTCGACCACCGCACGCCTACCCTCGATCCGGTCGGATACCTGCAGTATGCATACGAGGAGACCTTGCGGGCAACAACATCTCCTACCGAATGGCTCGGCACAACAACCTCAGCCACTGCCATACTGCACTGTACCAAGGAACAAGATGGGACACAGAAGCCACTGCTGTATGTTACGAACCTGGGCGACTGTAAGATCATCGTGATTCGACCTAGCGAGAAGAAAGTACTTTTCCGCACTGCCGAGCAGTGGCATTGGTTTGATTGTCCCATGCAGCTTGGGACAAACAGTGTCGACACACCCCGGAAAGATGCAGTCTTATCCAAAATTGTGGTGCAGGAAGACGACGTCGTCCTGGCGCTGTCGGATGGCGTCATGGATAACCTCTGGGAGCATGAGGTCCTAAAAGTCGTTATTGACAGCATCAATAAATGGGAGGAAGGGCGCACGGCGCCAAAGAAGGCTGCGCAGCATCCTCATCTGTCTGATGACCGCAATGTCTATGTCGCTCGGGAACTGCTTAATGCTGCTCTGACGATTGCCCAGGATCCCTTTGCAGAGAGTCCATTCATGGAGAAGGCAGTGGAAGAGGGTCTTGCTATTGAAGGTGGCAAAATGGACGATATCTCCGTCGTGATCGCATCCTGCAAGAAAAGTGATGGATGAGAGACAGCCGTTGGTTCTACGATCAGACTTTCTTTCACAAATATTCACCGATCTTGAATTCCGAGCCTATCTCAGACTTGCCCCAGTTTTCATTGAACCGAATCTGGGCAGGCTGTTATTCTCAGTCTAACGTCAATGCGAGATGCTCATATCTATCGCCAAAAGCTCGTCCAACTACTTCGCTATTGCGCAGGTATGATGCCTTGCAAGTGTCGAATCAGGACCCAGGCACGCATTGCAGTCAAACACCTAACCCGCCCAACCTTGGGAAATGACTTGCACATATCCCGGAGTCCTCCAGCACGAGACATGATTGCTTTGCCTCGCCTGGTCATGATCACACCCCCATCCGTTGTATCGTCAATCGGGTCGGACAACTCTATTCCCAGCGGAGAATTCGCATCGGGGCTCACCAAGGTCCTGCTGTAACCGGTCAAGCTGGTGACTCCTACCTATACCAAACGTCCTTTCTACCATATTTGAGACCCCCTTATGTATGGGTTCACCTATGAGGGATTCCATTACTGGCATGATGTGGCTTGTCTGTCCATCGTATAATAGTTATTTTCAGCCTAAGCAGAACTAATAATAATATCTACTCTACAAATACATAGTATGCTCTGTCATTTCCCATTAACATCAGTAAATATGAAGTATATGGTACTGAATTTTCAAGGCTAGACGCCCCACTTTGACAAAGTACTGGGTACCTCATCCTCAGCACAGACCAGAATATCGCAGCTCCCGCCCGGCAGAATGAAAAAAGTTTCGGTCGACGCAGAAGCTCATGGCTTTTGCTACATTTAATCCTCAAATACTTGACATACACAATTCAAAATGAGGGCCAAGCGTTCAAAGAAGTATCGCAAGCTTATGCACCAGTATGAGCTCACTTTCGGCTTCCGAGAGGCCTATCAGGTCCTGGGTATGTTCCATTCAATGCATTGTTCTGATATACAGTTACTGACTCGCGCTCGAACAGTTGACTCAAATTTCCTTCGCGCCACCGACTCCTTCAAGATGGAGCTAATTCCAGCGCTTGAACGAACAGTCCAAGGCAAGGTCAAGCCTCGTGAGTCGCACCGAACACCAAAGTCCCCATTCGCCAAGACTTATCCCAACTAACAATGTCACAGTATTGACAAAGTGCTCGTTAGCCGCTATCATGGCCGCACAACCCATCAACCCCAAAACCGAAAAGCCGTACCGACCTCTCTTCCTTCCCCCTCCCACAGAACTCCCGCTCCGCCATTGTTCGCACAATGCGGACTCCACGCCCATCGACGAAGTCGAGTGCCTCCTCTCACTGCTTTCACCTAACGCAGACTCAAAGAAGAACAAGGAGCACTACATTCTCGCTTGCGCAGATCCAATCGTGAGAAAGACGACCAATAGCGAGAACCAGCCCCGCAGACGGAAAACAGAGGAGGATCGTAAAGAAGAGGAAGCTATGCGCCGTTCTCGCACATTGCGCGCCGGTGCCCGCTCCATTCCCGGTGTGCCTATCATCTATGTCAAGCGCTCCGTGATGGTCCTCGAACCGATGAGCGGGCCGTCCGAGATGGTGCGGGATGGTCACGAGCGTGGAAAATTCCGCGCTGGATTGGATGTGGATCCTATGCTGGGCAAGCGCAAGAGGGATGGCGAGGCTGATGGCGAGAGTGCTGAAGAGGCGGAACCTAAGAAAAAGCGTGGTCCTAAGGTTAAGGCACCTAATCCTCTCAGCGTGAAGAAGCCTAAGAAAAAGACTGAGCCGCCTGCACCGAGGAAGGATAAGGCTGTCCGGAAGGAGGTTGACGCCGCAGATACTGAGCAACATGATGGCGGTGATGCTGCCGCGGCCAAGCCTAAGAGGAAACGTCGTCATGCTAAGAGTGGTCCTCGTGAAGATTTCGAGGCCGCCGAGCCTAATGAGGCCATGGAGGTTGACGCTTGATTGAATCTTTACGGCATAGGCGATTCATGATGCTGGTTATCATTGCATGCATTCTCAACCTTATTTCACTCCTAGGGTGCGGCGTTCAGATCGGATGGGTTATATCTAAAAGTTCCGCTGATGTACATAGTAGTAATGTACATCTGATATCATTCTAGAGATCTTACAGTACATCGTAGATTAAGTGTTCGGCATTGGTGCCAGATAAGACATAGGAAAGAAGGGAGAGCGAACTCCAGTCGATCGTATATGTATTTACATGTTCAGATATTGTACAAGGATTCTTCCCCAGATGAAATGAGAGGAGATAATTTGGCCTCGGTTTGCCCGTCGCCGTGCATTCTCACGAGAAGATATCCCAGTCGAGTTGCAGTCCCGGGGCCATGCGGAAGGCTGCCGCTAATACCAAGCAGCGGTGCTGTCTTTTCAGGTATGAGTCAAATCAAAGAATAGTCATAAAGAGCGCACTCCAAACTCCAGTCCCGAACATGATGGCATATGCTCATCTCACAGCACGGTCTATTGCTTCGCGGCACTGGTATTAGCCGCGGCAACATTCGGCGCCGCGGCCGCCGGCCCTTGATCAAGCTCGCGCTCTTTCGCCCATATCTCTTCGATACGCCGGCGGTTGCTGCGCGCCTCGTCTCGGTTGCGCTTTGCGCGCTGGAATCGCTCTGCGGATAGGCATTTGTTCACGTCGCGCTTGATATCATTGCAGCTTCCCATGGCTTTGTGTAGGAATCCCTTAGCATGACATTCGTCGAGAGCAGTCATAATCTCTTCGCAATCTGTGCGATATCAGTCAGTAAGGGCAGTTATAAAGCGGGATGGGATGGCTAGATGGATCTTCCGGTATGGTGGACTCGACGTACTGGCATTGTAAGAGGTGTGGAGGTGAGAATGCATGATTGCAGTGGTACCAGGTTGAAAAGTAGAACAACTGGAAAGAGAATCGTACGATCAACGCAAAGCAAGAACATCGCGGTTCCGCAACACTCCCCGGGCGGTAAGGAGATCGGCCTGATTCTGCCGGGCGGACAGCCCCTCACACCGATAAAAAAAAATATCGCCGATAGAAAAAAAAGTGGACGGGTGCGATCAGTTTTGTCACAACTCTTTCACAATGTCTTCCATGATTACAACTACGACATGGGTGAGGCGTGGTGTCGCTGCCCAGTTCCCCACCAAATATGAGATCGACGAGGCCGAGATGGGCCGTATATCTAAGCTTGCGCGCATGCAGCTTGAGGATGCAAAGGACGATATGAACGCTGCCCAGGACGGTTCTGGAGATGAGCGTGATGATGCTATGGAGGAAGATACCGAGGAGAAGACCTCAGCAACCAATGGCACGGATTCAAAGGAGTGAGTGTTGTTTAGTGCAGCGAGGATTCAACTCGAGCTAATCGGTTTTACAGCGATGATGATGTGTTGAAGGAATTCGACATGGATAACTACGACAAGGAGGAGGTCGATGAGGACGGCGAGAAGGTCACCATGTTCGGCAACGTCCAATCCCTGGCCTACCACCAGCCCAACGAGGAAGACCCGTACCTTGTGATCCCCGAGGACGAGGATGATGAGGAACGCGAGGAGCTCCAGATTATGCCGCACGACAACCTTTTATTGGCTGGAAAGGTGGAGGACGAAGTGGCGCACTTGGAAGTCTATGTCTACGAAGACAAAGCGGATAACCTCTATGTGCACCACGACATCATGCTGCCCGGCATCCCGCTTTGCACAGAATGGCTTGATATTCCCGTTGGCAAGAACCCAGAAGGTCGGACACAAGGAAACTTCGTGGCTATCGGAACCATGGAGCCTGATATCGAGATTTGGGATTTGGATGTCGTGGATTGCATGTACCCCAACGCGATTCTCGGACAGGGCGGCCAGGACGCCGAGAAGGCGAAGAAGAAGCAAAAGAAGAAGGCCAAGGCCAACGACGAGTACCACATCGATGCCGTCCTGGCGCTGGCCGCCAACCGTCAGCACCGCAACCTGCTTGCCTCGGCCTCAGCCGATAAGACCGTCAAGCTCTGGGATCTCACCACTGCCACCTGCGCCAAGTCCTACACCAACCACAAGGACAAGGTTTGCTCACTAGACTGGCATCCGACTGAGTCCACCATCCTGCTGAGCGGCAGTTACGACCGCACGGTAGTGGCAGCGGACATGCGTGCACCGGACGCGCAGGCGCGCTGGGGCGTCGACGCAGACGTCGAGTGTGTACGCTGGGACTCGCACGACACGAACTTCTTCTACGTGACCACCGACGGCGGCATGGTTTACCGCTACGACATGCGTAATATTCCCGCCACCCCTGCCGAGTCCAAGCCCGTCTGGTCTCTGCAAGCACACGACTCCTCCGTTTCATCCTTCGACATCAACCGCTCCATCCCCGGCTTCCTTGTCACTGGTTCAACAGACAAGACCGTCAAGCTGTGGAGCGTCGAGAATGACAAGCCCACTCTGGTTGTCACGCGCAAGCTTGAGGTCGGCAAGGTGTTCTCTACTACCTTCGCCCCCGACCAGGAGGTTAGCTTCCGGTTGGCAGTTGCTGGTAGCAAGGGTAATGTGCAGATCTGGGATGCTTCGACTAACGGCGCTGTCCGTCGTGCGTTTGTGTCTCGCATGCCTGACCTTGCTGGTGACGTCCAGGAGCGCACTATTGGTATCAATCCTGATAATGATGAGTCTGATGACGACGAGGAGGTGGAGGGTGATGAGGATGAGCCTCGCGGTGGTGATGGCTGGGAGTCGATGGATGAAGACTAGGTGGACAACAGATACCCGTGGATTCTTCCGTTTCATATGCGCCAAAAAATAGATTTGCTGTTGGGTTTTGCGTGTTAATGACCAGTCTGTTACGAAGTTTTGGAAATATGAGAACAATTCCAATGGTTATTCAATTAACAAGAATAGTCGGCCGCTGATTAAGAGCGAAGAGTATTTTGAATGATATATGTACAGAAAAGCATGGAGTGCTTTTGATATATTAAAGATGGGAGTGACATGAAGGAGATGTGTCAGAATATAGTAGCAAGAATTTAAACTCTGCCCCAACTGGTTTCGCTGCTGCTGCCACTCGGTGTCTCCAAGTTCGTCCCATTCCCACTGCGGTACCCCATCATCAGCGCCACGAGTCCACTGGGAACCCAGGCCCCGATCAGGCTGTACGACCGGGCTCCCCGGCCCACATATATGACAGATTTCTTGGACACTTTCCGGCCGAAGATATCCCGCGAGGTGGGCTCCAAAGCATCCAAAATAGCGTAATGGAGGTTGCGCGCCGGAGATCCGCGTACTGTGCTGGGACCAGCAGAGGCAACTGGCCGCTGCTCAACGCTGGACAGATACTGTGAGGCATAAAGGGCTCGCTGCTGGGTACTCCATGCAAGGACTTCTGTACCTGCGATCTGATTCTGGCCACTTCGATAGGTGGGCCCTAAGTCAATGTTGCCCAGCTGCAGCTCGACGACGTCAACATTGCCTTGCTCGAGGAGACGAAGTTCCTGGCGAAGCGAGGCTGCGAAGCCTGAGATTGCTCGGGCTGTGGCGACTTCGGGTCCGGCAAATGGCGCGGAAAGGGAGGATGATATGGAGGGATAGGCAAAGACAATAGTGCTACTATTGCTGCGGAGGGTTAGCAGGGGGAGGAATGTCTGCACTGTGAGGATAGGCGAGAGGAGACGGGTGTTGACCGTGTCGGCCCAAGATGATGGCGGGATGGTCGCGACAGGGCCTGCACTATAGTTGAGGGATGGGACTACGATAAGGCCACTCAGTTGACAGGTGTGCGGAGGCACTCCAGCGATAGGCGACTGTGGGTGAGTGATCAAGGAGCGAAGCTCTTGCAACGAAGGATGGATTTCGGACGGCGAGGAGGATGTCTAGTGTACAGTGTTAGTCGGGTTATCCCATATAAGAAATACAGGAACAGCACTTACAGTTGTAAGGTCCAACCAGAGAGCCTTGATGTCAACACGATTCTCAGACTTGACGATATGCTCTTCATCGGCAGAAGATACAGTCACATATACGATATATCCTCGACGTTCCAAATCCATGGCAATGGCCCTTGTCATCGGCTCATGTGGCGATCCGGCAACAACTATAATCGCAGAATTAGCACTCACATCCTGGGGCAGATCGAATGCAGGCATTATGACACATACCAACAATCTCTTTCCTTGCGCCGTTGCTCGCTCTTCGGGCCTTTCTCCGTTTCCCGTGTAACTTCTTGTTTCCATAGTATAAGACAACACCGGTTCCGATAAATGCGAGGACGGCTGCCGTGAATGCGCGATTCCGACCCATCCAGCTTTGGATCCGGTCTGTCAGGCCTTGAGACGACCGCATTCTCGGGGAAACACGAGCCGGACGGACAGTCGGCGGTAGCCATGACTGCTGGGCCAGCGTATCCTTGATCGCGCGCGCGGCATGGTCGACTTGTCGGTCGATCGAGTCTGCGACTTCGAGGGAATACCGCCTTACGTCATGGGGTATAGACGCGAGCTGGGTGAGGGAGTATCAGCACCAAGGTCATTCTTTGTCTCCTTCTATGATACTCACGTAGTCAAAAAAGAACTGGTCGTCGCTCGTCATTTCGTTTATTTGAGAACAAGCTGGAAAGAAAAAGAAGAGCGAAAGTTCGATAAGATGGATGCTGATAACTCGGTGTTATCGGAAAGGTCACATGAGTAGTGCTTTGTATAGGACAGTCAAGGGTGGGGAGTATATAGGACTAATGAGGCTCTCTTGGGCTTTTTCCTTTTATTCTTTAGGTGCCTTTTTGATCACAACTAGTGGGAACGTAGTAAAATGCTGTTTTCGACTTGACTGTCGCATTAGTGTGGGATACTGTGAATATATATCTGGGCCAAGACGATGCAACTGCACACACAATATTAAGCAAAACCATGGCTTTGACACTTCGTAGTATTACCCATATATAGAGCAGTTAATTCCATCTAAAGTTATGCCTACACCATTGTACAGGATTGAAAAAGCCTTTACTTGACGACTATGTGAAAAGCACGTGACTGCATTTGTAGCCTGACGTATCAGGCGTTAAATGTGTGCCTTGCTTATGCCAAAAGGCATCCATGGATGGCCCAAACTTGGATTGATTCTGGAATTTCCATCACTCGTTATGTTCCTTTGACTCTTCCTGGCTATCTGCGCCGCGATCTGTGTAATGCCATCATTTGGTCATGTTCTGATGTGAAACCTTCTTGCTTAGATCCTCGCCTCGGAGGAGGCCATCCCAACGAAGCCAGTAGCATCGCACATACTTACGGCGTCCTTTTCTTACCGTACCATCCAAGTTCTTGATCAAAAATCTCGAAAATGCGGGAGCTAGATCCTCTGATCTCAGAATACCGCCATGAAAAGAAACGGCCCCGAGAAGCAGAGGCCCTCTTGATCCTCCGCAAAGTTGCGTCGTTGGTCAAACCGATCATGCGGCAGCGCGCCTGGAGAGTGGGCGCTCTCTGTGAGTTCTATCCGCAGCAGCGAAATCTGCTGGGGCTGAATGTCAACTCGGGCCAGAAGATCTGTCTAAGGTTACGGTATCCCTCCGACCAACGGCAATTTCTCCCCATCGAAGAGGTTTTGGATACCATGCTTCATGAGTGAGTGATTTTACATCCAAATATCCCAAAATATGCGCAAATTCTGATAAAGTCTAGACTCTGCCACAACGTGATTGGTCCTCACAACCAGCAGTTTCATGCGCTGTGGAATCAACTACGTGATGAGCAAGAGGAACTAGCTCGAAAAGGCTACACTGGAGAGGGCTTTTTATCTCAAGGAAAGCGCCTGGGTGGCCAAAGGATTCCGCTGGATGAAGCTCGACGTCAGGCTCGTGCCGCTGCTGAACAGCGAAGGGTTCTCGCCAAAAATTCTGGCAAAAAGCTTGGCGGCGCCCGCGTGCTCCGAGGAACAGATATACGCAAGCTCCGAGCTGACGCTGCGCAGCGGCGAATTGAAGTAACTCAGGGTTGTGCATCTGGCACTGACCGAAGCACAGAGCTTGCGGAACAGGCCTCGCATGGGTTCCGGACCCAAGCCGAGGAAGACGACGCAAATGAGCGGGCTATCATGGAGGCCTTTATCGAACTGATACAGGAAGAAGAAAGGGAGAAATATGAGTCGTCATATGTCCCGCCAAGTCAAGAAAACCCGGCAGGACCTCGAGCAAAACCGTCACCGCCGCCCACTGCTTCCGATATCTCGCCTGCTATCTCTGAAACTCTGCCTGTGCTTCCAAAAGAAGCCCCATCATCGGATCGTAACGAAACTGTTGATCTTACAGCGGACAACAGCTCATACGAGACACCCTGGATCTGCCCAATGTGTACGCTGGAGAACCCGTCTACCTTCCTGTGTTGTGATGTTTGTGCAGCAGAACGACCGCTTCCGACTAACACTCTATCCAAATCCGGTTCTGGCCTAAATTCTACCGAACCAGTGCGTTCGGAGTCTCGAAACTCGAAGAAAAGGCATTTATCGCTTGATCGAAACGAAGAAAAGCAAGCGAAACCTGGGGATACATTCGTTTTCAAGAACCGAACCCGTGCACTGGATACCCTCAAATCCTTGGACCGGGGTGCAGACAAGAAGCCTATTGGATGGGTTTGCATCTCGTGCAGTAGCTTTATGGAGACCCAGTGGTGGACATGTTCCTGCTGTGGGACAATGAAGCCGTCCTCTTGATCAAATCTCGAGATGTTTCACCACCACACGCCCTAAAACAGGGAATCATGATCGTTATGAAATAGATACCAGTATGACAATGAATCTTGATTAAATTATATATTTTTATACAAATTCCGTAGTTATCGATTGTAGAATAGAGCCATACAAAAGCATCACGTGACCAGAATGACTAAGAGAGCTCCACCCGGGCCAAATTTTCTCACAAAACTCCAAAGCGAACTCTTTCCTCTTCTCCAGCTCCAACCAACACCAAAATCCAGTATGGACCAAGACCAATAAATGAGATTGATCTTCGGTCCATGCTGGAAGAACCCACTAATAGGTATGTGGTACGAAACTCCCCTGACAGGACCACAAGTGAAGAAACAAACATCGCACCCAAACATACTCTATCATGATGAGATTCGCATTAGAACCGGAATTTTTAATAGGAAGAGCCGGAAGAGGTATGGCAGGGGCTGAAATCCCTGTCGTCGATGCTTATAATGGTTCTCCTGAGTAGAAGTCTTTGGATGCTTGTTGTTTCTTTTCTTGGTTGTGGTCTTGGAACGATCAACGTGCTGTTGCTTGGAGTAAACCGCTAATGATGTCTCTTTGCAATGCAGATTTCTGATTCTTTTTTGATATCGACGACTATTGGACTGTTGCATGTGGGAGAATATAATAGCTAGACCAATTGAATGCTTTGTTCCATTACTTTGATAAACTTGGCTTTATAAATATTCAGTGGACAATTATCCCAGGGAAAAGATTATATTTTACTTCGAAATTGAACTATCATACATTCCTTATATCTTCTTCAACTCCCAAGGATATAAAACTTTTATATGGAAACCAAGATAGAGAAGACCTCCAAGGTAACAAGGTCGAAAATGATCACAACGCCAATTGACATGCTTGTACACAAACGTAATCTTGAACTCAGGCGACGCTGACAAACTGGCGCTTCTTGCCCGTGCCCTTGGAGGTCTGCTGCTCCTCCCAAGTCTCCTCATCAACGTAGTCCGTGATACTCTGCTCGCGGATCTGGTTGCCGATGAACTGCAGCGCGGAAAGGTTGAAGCCCATCTCGTCCTTCTGACGGGCAAGGACCCGACGAAGCGATACCCGAATGCTGTCGAGCATAGGACGCATCATCTTGCTAGCAACAATCTGGCGGTGGTGGGTCTTCAGGATGAAGAACAGCACGCGGCAGGTGAGGGGCACGTTCCATTCGCGATCGGCCCAGATGTTGAGGAAGGTGAAGAGAGCGGAGAGTTTGGAGAATGGCAGAACCAAGAGAGCGTCCTGGAGGGCAGCCGCGGGGATCTTCTGGACGGTGTTCAGAACGTGCTGCTCGGCGGAGACGTTGTTGAGAGCCAGGTAGACGGGGTTACGATCGGGCGCGGCGGCGTTGGGGTTGGCGGCCTTGACCTTGCGCCAGTCGCGTACGACTTCGAGATCCTCGAGGCCTAGTTCCAGAGCTTCCATGATCTTTTCTCCGGCCATGAGAGTGCCGGTCGTCTGCTTGCCAGCATCGACGGCCTCGGCCTTCTCGCCATCTTCGCCGTCCTCCTCCTGCTCGAGGGACGCGGTAAGTGTGCTGTCGTAAGCCTCTTCCATCTCCTTCTCACGTTCTTCCTCCAGGAACAACGGTTCGTCCGTTTGTTGCCAGATGCGGATGCTCTTGTCGTGACTGGCACTGACAATGAAATCACCAGTGTGACTCATGGCAAGTGCCCAGATTTCACCGTGGTGGCCAACAAGGCGCTGGATTTGCTCAAACTTGTCACCGTCCCAGTATTTGATGTTACGGTCCTTGCTTGCACTGAAGAAGTTGTGACCGTTTCCATCCTTGTTGTGAGGAACGAATGCCACTGCCATGATACTGTCCTCGTGGGCCAAGAAGGCCTTGTGACAGTCACCAAAGTCCAAACCCCAGAGTCGAACCGTCTTATCAGCTGAGCAAGTAACAATCAGTTTGCTGTCATATGAAATATCCATGCTCAAAACAGGAAGCTTATGTCCGTAAAGGTTGAGGAATAGCTTCAGCGAGTCGACGAAGAAAACCTTCACAGTGTTGTCTAAGAGAGAAACGGCCAGAAGTCGCGCATCCGGAGAGAAACGAAGGTTGAGGATATCGTCGTTGACCTTCAGCGTCCTTGTGTGTGCCAGCTTGAGGCGGGGAGTGGTACGTTTGGTTCCCGGGATCTCCTCCTGGACAACCTGGAAATTCCAAAACTTGGCTGTCTTATCTGCGCTTCCACTGACCATAGACTTGCCATCTGGGTGCACGTGAAGTGACCACACCGGTCCGTCGTGGGCTTTAATAGTGTCGAGCAATGTCGAGGATGCGATATCAAACACTTCGAGTTCTCCATTCTTGTTACCAACCACCACAATCTTATCACCAGGAAGGAATGCGGAACACAGGGAATATCCACACTCGAGTGTTCGTAGACAACTTTCCGTACGAACGTTCCAAATCTTCAGAGTGCCATTCGAAGCAGAGGCAAGCATTCGGTCGTCGGAGCTCAATGCAATCGACCGGATATCTGTTCGATGACCAGGAATGTCCACTGCCAAACTCCGAGTGTAGTCCGGATCCTCGCTGTCCGTGTTCTTCTTGTTCGCTGGCACAATGTTGTAGGCCTCAAGCTGGTTGTTTGTTGTTGCGGCAAGGAGGTTCAAGCCACTTGACTTGTTGGTCATCCAGTCAAAGGAACGAACCTTTCCGCCAGTTCGCACGATAACATGTTGGACAAAGACTTCTGACACGGGAGCGGCGGCGGCATCCTCAGGCTTGTCGTTATCCTCTTCCGGTCCGTTTTCCTCGGTGCGCGCCTCCTTCTCCTTTCTTCTCTTCTTCTTCCGAGCCAAGCTCTTTTGTACCTCCGACTGAGAGCGAATGCGCCAAACTTCGACCGACTTGTCGGAGCCGTGAAATCCAACGTAGTCTGAGCGGGGGTGGAATCGGATGCCAATTGTGCGGTCCTTGCCATGTCTGTAGAAAGTCCCTCGTTCTGTGAGAATCCGGCGACCATCTGCGCCTACCTTCTCCCTGGAAATCTCCATCATAGCCGCCTCGTCAATCGACCAGACCCTGAGTTCACCATCATTGCCGGCTGTGATACATCCGCCCTGGTCAGGCGAAAGACCCAAGCTCCAGCACTCGCCATTTGATTGTGCCACATGCGTTTCAATGCAATGCTGAGAGCTCAGATCCCAGACTTTGATCAATGCATCCTTTCCGGTGGTTAATAGGAATCCTGAGTGTTCACTCAACCCGGAAGCAGTGAGCAGTTCGGGGGAGGGGAATAGGAAATGTAGCGATGTGATCTGATCGGTGTGACCGCGAAGTCTGAAAAGACCGGTCTCAGTGATCAAATCCCAGAGGATGATATCGGTATCTTTTGAGCCACTGGCGAGGCGCACGCCTGCGTTGTCGAAGGCCAACTTGGTGACGGCGGATTTGTGACCGTTGAAAGAAATAATGACCGTGGCGGTGCGCGAATCCCAAAGACGAATACTTCCATCCTCGTAGCTGAGAAGGGACATAATAAGTTAGACCAAAATCATCCGACTAGGCCACATTGGAGGACACTCACCCGACTGCGAAGATATCTTCATCTGTCATGCTCTGAGTGACCACAGTAACCTGCGCTCTGCAGGCAGAATCGCGCCATCTTCCAAGAAGTTCTCCCTTCTTCACATCCCAGCACAAAACTTCCTCACTTGCGCCAACAATGGCTCGTCCAGCGCCCGTCTGGCGTGCAATGCTGGTCTGGTCATCTTTGGCCCAAACCGCATTCGAAGACGCCGAGGCGACGAGCCCGAATGTATTCGAATGCTCGAATTTACTGAGTAATGGTTAGCGGTCAGATCAGAGAATTCCAAATCACAAAAAATCGCACGTACAAGTATGATTTCACCATCGTTCAAGGTGGATGGGAAAATTTTTGGAATCTCCGATTGCTATCGATAGGACAAAATTAATACGGGCGGTGACAGCGACCTCCCCGGCTCCCCCACCGCCCATGACGATCACGGGGCGACCTCACAAAGCCACCCATTTGCACTGCGTACCATCCATTGTCCTGCCCGTCATGCTTCTCTTAGATTACCAGAATGCTTTGATCCAGTCGCTCCTTACGGAACGTTTTTCTGGGTATGCTTTGTTCCTCCCAAGCACTGCGACCCCGCGCATTGTATACACATCACCGAAGGCAGGCACCCGGCTAACAAGCTGAACTCAGAGCAACCCCCACCTCCATTGACCAGGTGGTGTCCGACTTCGACGGTGTGACATTTCACCTCTCTACTCCTGAGTCTAAGACGAAGATCCTCATCTCGATCAATGTGAAGTGCTACAAGGAACTGGTTCAGTACGGGGCCCAGGAGGTGTTGGAAAGAGAATACGGTCCCTACATCGTGTCTCCGGAACCAGGATATGATTTCTCAGTACAAGTCGATCTCGAAAACCTGCCCGCAGAGGAGGAGGCCCGGAATGACCTGATTATGAAGTTTGCCCTCCTGAAACGGAACGCAATGGCAGCTCCCTTTGAGAAAGCATTTGACGAATTCAACAAGCTCGCCGAGGAGGCTTCCAGATACACCTCAGAGTCAGCACCACAGGGTGTCCAGGAGGGCGGTGAAGTTATGGCGATTCACTACCGTGAAGAGGAGGCCATCTATATCAAAGCCAATTGGGACCGAGTCACAGTGATCTTCAGCACCGTGTTCCGCGAAGAGACAGACCGGATCTTTGGCAAGGTCTTCCTGCAGGTTCGTGCTTTGCCACAATTGGTCTGCGGATTCAAGGAGGAACCCTTATTAACAGCCTATAGGAATTCGTCGACGCCCGGCGGCGTGTCTTGACGCTTCAGAATGCCCCTCAAGTCCTGTTCCGTAGCGATCCTCCCCTTGAGCTTGCAAATGTGCCTGGTTTGAGTGCTACTGGAGGCGAAGTTAGCTATGTCACCTTTGGTATGAATGCGAAATGCGCCATCAATTTCTGTCTTAGTACTGACTCGGCTTGCAGTTCTGTTCCCTCGACACCTGACCCCGCATCGTCGTTATGAAAACATTTCCCACATCCAGACCTTCCGTGATTATTTCCACTACCACATCAAAGCCTCAAAGGTATGCAGTTTCTCTCGGTCTTATTTGGATTATTACAAGGAATTGATAACTAAACATGTATTGCAGGCCTACATCCACACTCGAATGAGGAAGAGGACCGCGGATTTCCTTCAGGGTATGTATCATCCGAGCAAAAACAGTATGTTCACTACTAACTCACAACAGTGCTCAACCGAGCTCGGCCGGAGAATGAAGAACGGGAGCGCAAGACTGCTAGTGGGCGCACGTTCCGAGTGCAGGGTTAGAGCTTCGAATTCCTTTGTTTGTACCAGCCAATTCAAGTCCATTGTCATTGTGAATACACTTTTTTCTTCCTATGCTATCTAGCAACACATTTACCAAAGATTGCAAAGTGCGATTCCTCAAACTTTGGCAGTATTGTTCACGAGGTGAGTTACCCAATGTCGAATTCGAAGCCAGAACTCACAGTGGGATACGTAGGATGATGATTTGCGGTAGTATGTTATGGTAAAGTGCATTGCTCAAATTGTTGACTACATGTAGTTATATTACATATATCTACGGTTTATCAAAGGTTATACATAGAAAAGTCCACTTCAGAAATTAAGCCTTGTTTGGTCCTTTCTGCTGTCTAACAGACAGAGCAGGGACAGGAAATATCTACATAAAAAGACATCTAAAAAGACTATCTCAGGAGACTACCAAAAAGGACCACTAAAAGGACTACGCATGGCACTGTCCCGCCTGGTTTGATTATTCATATCATCACATATCGACATATATTGTTAAACGTCATAGAAACAACTATTAGATTAGCAATTACTTAGTAGGATGTCATAGGTATCAAGCAGCGCCATCCCCATCCCTATCCACCTAGGCCATTTCCCTCGGAAGAAGAAAACCAACCCATCCCTAACCCGGCACACCCTTCATCTCATTCAATCGCCCACCAACACACGTCCCAGCAAAAGCATTGCGCGCGGATAACGGATCCCGTCTCGACCGCTTAATCTTACCGTGCGTCAGACGGCGGCGCAAATGAATCAGCGCCCAGGAAACGAGGAAGATTACCAGAACCGCAGCCAAGATGCCAAAACAGTATCCAGTCACAAGCTTGCTCTTCCGTCCGTGGTCGCCGACGTCGAGGAAGGAGTACGGGTACCAGCCCTCGGTTTCGTGGGTGATGTATGCAATGCAGAGATAGAGCAGAAGCATGAGGATTAGGAATGGGATTGCGATGAATGGGTGCGGCGCTGTGGCTGGGAGGAGGATTTCCAGTAGGGCGTAGACGGAGTTCAGGCAGTGTAGGGAGATCTGGCGAATTGGTGTGTTAGCTTGACGGGTGCGCTATAGTAATTGTCTTTTGCTTTCCCCTCTCTACACCCCCGGATTAGAGGAGTGCGGGTTGAGATTGGAGGAGATGGCTTGTGATATGTCAATGTAGACGCTCAGGCGCTTCCCTTTGATATGACTGGCTGAGCCGGGATATACCGAAAAGGAAATATCAATGCAAAACCAAAGGATGATACGTACATTTTGCCAGCCGGTGAATATCTTCTCGTACCACGGTGGAGTGAAGAGGAGAGCCCAGAAGACAACCGTAACTAGAAACGGGTATGTCGTGACTGTCACATACAACAGGCTATGGAGTACGCGAAGGCCTCGCGGCCAGCGGTCGAGGAGAATCGAGCGGCGCGTTCGTGCATAGCAGGCTGTATGGATCGCAGCGAAAAGCATGTAGAAGCCAATACCCCAGTAAGTCAGCCAGGTGAAGTAGCTGAAGGAGTGGCCAATCGAAGCGTTGTCATCGTGGGTGCCGTACCATCCCCAGAAGATGAAGATGGAGGTGAAAATGTACAGTGAGATCAGACCGCGGAGACCGGCGAGGATAGCAGGGGGTAAGATCCAGGACGTCTCGAAGTGGTGCTTGTCATCGGTAGTCGGGTCGACTCCGAAGAGAGTCGTTAGTGAGACTCGAGGCATGTTGTTGCGTGACTTGCGATTTCGTTGTACTCGGGGATAATTGAACTTAAAGAAGGAAACAAGGAAGAAAAGAAGATTCAGCTGCACATGTCGTAGCTCAGACAGGCAGCAAACCGGCATTTAGATGCTGATATTGGATGGGGGGGGGGGAATTAATACCTGCCTTTCCCCGCGGTATAGAGTGATCTCGCAAGCCGTTCTGCGCCTTTAGGGGGTCAGGTTACGAGGACCAGGGCCATTCGTGGAGGCAGCTTTGCTCTCAGTCTCACCTTAGATCCATTCTGTCCCCACCAGCGCTGACCATACACACCAAAAGAGTTTCGAGGCTTCTGATTGAATCTGCCATTGAATCAGAATCAGGGGTGAGTCTTAGCATTGATCCAAAGAAATAGAGCAAGACCAGAATCTAAGATTGTCTCAATGATCAGCGTTTGGACCAAGATATTCGAGAGATTCGAGACATTGTAACTTGGATTTATAGGAATATCTCAGATAGGCTAGATGCAGGAGTTATTCCTCCATAGATGCATGCCTTGTCATTGCTTATAGTCTCACTATGGGTACAGCCTGGAACATATTATCCAAAAGACCCCAATGAACTCAGTTCTACAGACTATTCTGTCAAGTCGATGCGTAACAGACTGGTTTATTCTGCAGCGTATGTACATGAAGATTGATACATATACCTATATAATGAATCTCATTTTTAACTTGCTTAGCAGCTGCCACCGTTAGATAGCTTAAGCATCGTTTGGCTGCAAAGGGAAGCTGCTGCGTTCCGACTCCCAGCTATTCACAGGTTCGGATGGCCAAACATCAGAAAGGACCTGTGCTAGTCTCTCTGGGATGCATCTTTCATCTGAGCCCTGATAGAGTGACTGGTTATGTATCTCCCTTTTCCTTTTCCCGACTAATAGTCGGTACCCCCCGTTTTGGAAATTGTAGCGTGTGCTCAAAAACGAACGAGAGAACCAATCAAGGAGCCGATACTCATCATTCGGGAGGTGCTCAAGACCAAAAGGCACGACACGAAGATTCTATAGGCGACGGGAAGCTTAATTAGACGAGATCAAGTGCCAGATCTGAAGAGCGAGTTGCTCATCCGTAGCCGCATTAACAAATATCATTTAAGGAGCAGATGTCTCGATTTCTCGCATTCGGTCGACTGGCCGCGGTCTAGGGTCGAAATGAAGGTCTAGTACAAGGCTATAGAGGTTTGAGAAGTTCCCTAGGGCCTTATATATTTCACACTCTCCTTGACCGCCTATAGATCTTTTGATTAGAAGACGTAGTTCTTCAAGCTAAGGATAGGACTTAGCCAGATGGCTTATGCCGAACGCATCCAATTCTGGATATTTATACCCAGAATCCCTTACGCTTATCCTAGCCCTAACCCTAGTGGATGGTTCAATAATAAGACCCTTCAGTGAAGGCCTATAGTGCTATATGATTTCGTTTAAAGACGAGACTCTGCGAATGCCATAAAGATGGAGATATTTCAGGGGATTGAATGCTCGTATTGCGGCAATCCCAATATTATGATCAGCATTAACATCTAGGTAGCGCCAGCCCTATCTATTAGTGGATATGTAGAGTCGCTCGAGGTTGGGGAAAGGCGCAGCACCTATACGAGTATGACTACGTCGAATAACTCATCAAGTTTAAGGGACCGAATTTGGGAAAGATCCACGATATCCGCCAGCCTAAGTAGGATATCCTTATATAGCCCTATTGAACTAATTAAAATCGAATGCAAGGAAGATATCGGCACAGGCCGCGTGGTATCAGCGAAGTTGCGCTATTCTTATTTTAGCGTAGTGATTAGGAATTGAAAGGGCTTGAAATCCCTCTATAAGAGAAGATGCTTCAAATTGGGAGCTAAAATAAGGAAAGGCAACATCTGGTCTAGCTCTATCTAACCGGATTTAGGATCAGATTTAGGGGGAATTTGGACGGGTAATACAGTTCCTCGAGACGTAGAATATTGACATCGATTCCAGTCGTTATCGTTCAGTCGCCGTAAGCGACGGCTTGCCTAACTTCTTAGACTTATCACACTAGTGCCCACGTCCTATCGCCACGAAATATCTAGTTGACACTTCGGATAGTGCTATAATATAGCTTCCTATAAAGAAATTGGAAAATCGTTCTAAACGAGAAATTCGATTTGTCCTAGATGCCACATACGGGCGATAAGGGTAGCGAGTAGCTGCAGTCTCTTTCGCATTTCTCATAGCTCGACCAGCATTTGAGGCGATGAATTCCTCCGACACCAGATAAACTAGGATCTGTTAAATCAGAATCCAGAAAAGTGTCTCTCGTGGCCGGCTCATCCTAGACGCCACGAGATAACCCTAGTTTGCAGCCTTCCAACTGCCAGAGAAGATCCTGTGGTGCAGTACCCACACCTGGATTAAGACATATAACAGATAATTTCCTAGCGTATTTCACGAAGTGACGCCGTCGGCCGTCCTCCGTCAACTTTGAGACGGCTTTTCGGAGGCTTTGAGCATCCCAGAAGATGATAGAGAGCTGTTGATAAAAAAGAGGGGCGGCTATTCTGTAACAAGTGTGGTTGAGCTGACTGAAACCTGAGAGTGTTGTACGTGAACCCAACCCATTAGCATGAAGCTCAAGGTTCTAGTGTCTCACCAGAAAAGAGTTCGCGAGGCGACATACACTGAGACATATTTGGCGTAAGAGCTCCGGTGGACAATGATTCATTTTGTTTAGGGGATGCAGCCTGAATGTATTTGTGCAAGGATATACGAGCTTGAAAACATTCAAATAGAAAGAGCCCAAAACAAGTAGTTTGAAGTTTAAATGTTGCCAAGAGTTGCCAAGATGCGGTCCCCAGAAATCGCATCAAAACACGATATCTCATTGATAGGTATGTAGTGATGAGGAGTATGTAGTATTCGTTTTCGGCGAATACGTTCTGTTCTTCATTGGGGGTACCTTAGGGACTTGTGCGATTATCGCGGTTTCAATAGGTGCGGCGCCCTCTTATAGAGCTGATCTTATCTAGTCCAGTCCCAGCCCTGGAGCCTTCGGGCAACGATAACGAACAGGATAGTACCTCAACCGGAGATCCAATATTCATCAGGATTAGACCACTTTTAACACGTTTAGACATTACCTGTGTCGAATGCACCTGCCATTTCTATATGAAAAATTCCTGAGGTCACGACGTGCGACCATTCAATTTCATTGTCACTAGAGCACCCGGTTATCTGACCTTGGCAGGCCGTGCGAGTTTGCTATCGGGTTGTAGGCAACAACTACCTTTCGAGATAATGTTATTTAGATGTTTCTTGAAACATCTGTAAATGCACTATTACCTGGAGCATGTAGTTAATGAGCAAAAGTATTCCAATCCAAATCAATATTTTACAGACTGAAAAACTAAGAAACCGGAAGTCTAGAAGATTTGCTGAAGAACTTACATTAGCTCTATTTATAGGCTGATGGACCATATTCTCGAGTTCAACGTTAGTACCCCGTATAGTTCCATCCAAGGCCCAGTCCACCCAATCCATGGAAGCGAGCCGGGTGATGCTGAGTAACAAATAACACTATCCCCAACTAGGGATAGTGGAATCCACAGACCACGGTTCAGTTGACTCAAAGGGCGTAGATTGTCCTTTTCATCTCCGAGGGACTTCTACCTACAATATTGTACTCGGTAGATAATATGGTAGTCGTACTATGATCCAAAAGAGAAATCAGTGTACAGTTTTGAGCCGGGATTTGATTTTATATATCTATTCCACTAGAAACCATTTGAACCCGTTTAGGAGTGTACCCCGCTCTCGTGGCTTGTTCCAATATAAGTAGGGGATGGTTTCACTTCTCTCAATTGGTGCCTGAAAAGTTAGCCCTGATTTTTGTATACCCTTTTGTATATCCCCAGGCACCAGTGCCAATGCCATACTTCTAAAGACAACACAAAATTTCATGCATGTCAACGGGAAATGATGAAACCCGTGTGGGGAGAGACGGCAGAGGAACTCGGATTCTAGAAGATAGCGGGTCAAACAAAACTCTCAGTTCTAAGTCCAGAGTACGGAGTATGGAGTACAGATACACAATATAGTAAAACTAGTGAAATCAATAGTAAACTTTGCAAGGCTATACATATGTATCTAATATGTAGAATAGTCCAATAACAATAGTATGCGACTCATTGTTATTCTTGGCGACCCCCTGAGTAGTTCCCCCTGAGACGATCCCTCAAACAGAGTGGACTGTTTTATTTTAGTGCACGGGACGCTTCTATTTACTTGTCAACTGTTTTGTTCCAAGGTTTGCATTGGGATCGTCAGTTTCCGTTTTTCTCCTTTCTCATCTCTTGAGACTCCCCTTCTCAATGCTCTGAACTCCCCTCTTCCTTCAACTTCGTCCGTAGGGCTGTCATTCCTTTGGCTCTATAACGTCGCCCCCCGCCCGAACCCCCCTTTGCGTGTTATCCGCAACTCCAGGACTACTCCGATGCTTCCTGCGCAAATCTCTAAGATCCAACCGACTCGGGATAAATGATCCAATAGCCGACCATTTGATATCCACATACTCATCATGGATATGCGAGGGAAACTGAGCGAATGTCGCTCCATATCCCACGATACCCTGCGGAGTGGCTCCCCACGAGTCGCGCATTTCGACGGCGAAGTTCCTCCCGCACTTTCCCCCCTCGACGCATTCGCCGCTCAGAGCCGATTTCTCGCCCGACAACTCGATGAGTCTCGACGAGGAGACCGCCGAATGAGTCGGCTGCCACCGTCGAGTGTAGCTCGATCGCTTTCACAAGGCCGCCCGGGCTTCTACCGCTCGAAGTCGTCGACCGAATCCAGCGAACTGAGCCGGCGACCCACGCAGAAGGGACTCCCGGAATATGAAGAGCCCAAGTACCGCCCTATCTCCGAACATCCTCGGTTGAGCTCAATTTCCCATGCTAGCACAGAGGCTAGCTATTACGAGGATGATGATAATACGACCCCTCGGACAACGATGCTTAATACTGGTCCGGAGACGTATGGGATGCCACGCGCCGAGTCACCAGAGGGTCTCGCGCCACGCCCCAGTGAAACGGAAGATGCGCCTGTCGGTATCGCGGTTGCTGAGCCGCAAGGTTCATCGATCGACTCATCAACTTCGCGACTGGACATCCCACGCACCTTGGCGCCGCCAGTGTCACCGCGGTCGCGCCCATCCAGCAGTGCCAAGGTGGCACACCCTGAGAGTTCTGATGATGACTACAGTAGCTCTAATGCTGGGTCGACGTTCTCCAATCCTCGCAAGCTGTCCTCTGGGAGTGCTGTGTCATTGCCATATTCTCCCATGTCGACATTCCCTGCACGGCCACGCCCTCGATCGCCATCCGTGAGCTCGGAGACATCAGGCACGGGAGCGAACCAGCTACCCCGCCCTTCTTTTAATTTCTCTCGGCCGCTGAGCCGGTCAAGTACGAGCTTGTCTGCTCCTGGAGCTACAACGCCTACCGAACCGATTGTCGCCTCTGGATCGAACCATATGTACCGCCGCAGCAAGCCGACTCCGCTCCTCTTGCAGACCGAAGACGCTGCTGAAACCCCAGCCGACGAGGGCGACCCGTCGTCCGCTGTCTCGTCTTATGTTTACGCCAAGTATGCGCTTCCACGCGGACGCTTCCTTTCGCGGGATTCTGTGGTCTTTGCAGGCTTGCAGACGCCTCATTTCGAGTGGGAGGAGCCCTTGTTTGAGAAAACGCCTCCCCGGAATTCAGAGGAGCCATCGCGGATACCACGGACGCCGTCCCCTACGCCCAACCGCCAATTAGAGCACTCACCGAAGCCTCACTCAATGTACGAAGCTCCAGCTCCTAAGCCTCAATCCCCAACCCCGACATTCCAGCCTCAATCTCCACCTCAGCCTCAATCCCAACCTCAACTTCATCCTCAAACCCCCAAGTCTCAACATGTCCCACAAACCCCACTTGTGCCCGACTCGCTGGAACAGGAACCGCGGCCCTCCGCCGAGAGCACTCGACGGACGATTAACGAGAAGGATGAAACTGTCTCTTCTGCGGATTCGGCCAGCACCATGCGGCCGCAAACCGCCACTGCTCAGGTGACGGCTTCCGGCCTCACGGCCGATGACCATGTCGCTAAGGGTATTGAATGCCACGAGCGAGGGTCCCTGAGTGAGTCGACGTATCATCTCCGGGTTGCTGCGAAACAGGACCATCCGACGGGAATGCTGCTTTATGCGCTGGCCTGTCGACACGGTTGGGGCATGCGATCCAATGAGAAGGAGGGTGTACGATGGTTACGCAAAGCTGTGGATTCGGTCGGATTGGAAATGTTGGCCGATCCGGATGCTCCCGGTGCATCGAAGGCGAAGGAATTGCAAAAGGCATACCGGGTTCAATTTGCTCTGAGCATCTATGAACTGGGCGTCAGCTACTTGAATGGCTGGGGTATCGAGCAGGACAAGTCTCTTGCTCTGCGCTGCTTCGAGATCGCCGGGCAGTGGGGTGACGTTGACGCCATGGCCGAAGCCGGATTCTGCTACGCGGAGGGTGTTGGCTGTAAAAAGGACATGAAGAAGGCGGCACGCTTTTATCGCCAGGCCGAGTCCAAGGGTATGAGCATGGTTGGAAACAGCTGGTACGTTCTTTCTAGTAGTTGTATCCTAATTACATTGCTAATAAGTACAGGATCTATAAGGACAAATACAACGAGGTCGAGTCCACTGGACGCTCCCGTGGCCGAAATGCCGGAGAGAAGGACAAGAAGCCGCGCAGCAAGTCCCGCACTCGCAGTATCTTCCAACGCAAGAAATCCAACGTATCAGAGGCATAGACTGTCTTCTGTCCGTTTTACTCTTCCTTTTGTCTCAACGCGTTCTCCTTGGAGTTGGTGGGAGAACCATCCATTTTGCATTTTGCATCATGTTTGGAGCGTTCTGAGCCGATTTTTGATTCGCATTTTGACTCGATTCTTCGACTTACATTCCTTGACTTTCTCATGTTTTAAATTTTTTTTCCTTCTTCCTATTCCTTCACATTTGCATTCTTCATTCCGAGCCGCCTGGGCAGCTGTTATCGAGCACCGAGTCTGTCCACGTGCGCAGGCTTAATACTTCAATTCTCCGTGTATACCCTTTTTTCCTTTCTTCCCATCATTTTGCCATTTTCTTTTTCTTTTCTTTTTTTTTTTTTTTTCTTTTGC